AACACTACAGTATAATTGTGAAATTTCAGAACACCAGAAATATAAAGAAGATTTAGAAACAAAAGCAAATGACATCACAGGACTGATCTTAACATGGAAAAATTAGCAGGCAAGAATAGCTCAAACAAAAACAAAAACAAAAACAAAAACAAAAAACCAAAAACTGAGGAAGAGTAATAGCGGTCATACTATATTTAAAAAACAAAACAAAACAAAACCTTTAAACAGCTAAAAGAGGTGTGTTAAAGGACATAGGCACCAACTTGGGCTACCACTGGCCAATTCTGGAACACTTTGTGCATCAAAAAGAATGAGTATAATCAATGGCAATATTGCAATAAATAAATTAAAATTTATGAGTTCATTAGAATTTTTAAGAAAAAGAAAGAAAAACAAAGGTAGAAAGGAAAAGCTTATTTACCACCATTGGAGGTAACGATTAGACAACACTTCTCTATAAAAATTAGTAATTATTGAAAAAGAATTAAACATTTGCTTTGCTTTTTAAGGAGATATGATAATTTATCCCCAGTTCATAATAGATAATTCTTCTTTGAAGAAAAATGCCAGCTAATAAATGTGGAGGGAATGATGGAATTAGAAAATCACTCCTTTGCAGCCCAATAAAATAATTGATTCAGTCTGAGACTACCAATGGATGCTGAAACCACTAGGTAAAAAGGCTGTTGAAGAGAATATTCACTTGGTAAAAAGTACCACTCTGTGGCTTACATTGAGGGAGTGTAGTTTTACACTGGAGACATTTGGCTGTCACCACCTTGCCAAGTGATCTACCTTAGTGTTACCAGTGGGACAACCTGGACCTCCTGTTATAATGGAATATGATGTACATAGCAAAAAGTATAAATTCTCTTGCCAGTGGGGAGTGAGAAATGAGGGTGGCAGTGTCCAATGTGACCCCACAGTTTGAGAAGTTTTACATTGCTCAATGGGCACATAGATCCTATTAGTAATGATGGTTATTTAAACATAAAATTAACATATTGTTTTTGCATTCACTTTATGAGTATTACTTTTTTCAAATAGCTATTTAGTTGTTAGGTCATGAATACTTTATTAGTTTGTTTGGCCCTACTTACTTAGTGAAAAAAACTGTTAAGTATTACTTATGGCCCAAGGATACTGTGAAAAAAAATTACTGACACTTTAAGGATGCTGTGAACAAAGGACATTTGGGAACCTCTGTCCTGGGACCATCACTCTATTGGAACTGAGGGTATTGAATGTCATTCACCCTCCTAATATGCAGTCATTAAAATTGTGTTCTTACTGACTCACCCTTTCTCCAGTACTACCTGTCTTAACTCCTGATGATTTCAATACGTACATAGATTCTCTCATGTTGGCCTCTCATATCCTTGAACTTGTCTTTTCAACTGACCTTGTCTTCTATCCCAGCTGAACCGCTAATTTGCACTGCAACCTTGTTACTACCATGCCCTTTAGTGCCTGACTCCAAAAATCCTTTGAACAGTCCCCCATCCCCATCCTCTTATTATACCATCTTTTCACTGACACCCACCTACCTGCCCTTGACAAATCATTTTTTCTTCTTCTCAGTTTAAGTTCTTTGATCAATCAATATAATCCCTCCCTTGCATATGTCCTCAACTTCCTTGCCCTTTACTCATTTCATTATAAACACGTGAACACATATCCTGGTCAAATTTAACCTCCTGCATCCTCTGAGCCTGTACCTGGGCCCCTGGACTATTATAAGCCCTCCTGAATGCCTTCCCAACCTATTTCCACGCAGCAGCCAGAGCAACTTTATCACTAAGCCACTCAATCCTTTAAAACTCTACAGTGACTCATAACCTTTGGAGTGCAGTCAGAGCACATTCATATAGTTTATGGGGGCCCTTCATGCTCAGACCCCTATTTGCCTCTTCAATCTCCCCACCACACCACCCCATGCCAGTCTGTACTTCATAATTTATAGTTTCTGGAAGTTTCCCTGTTTTCCCTCCCTCTTCTGCCTTTGCATATGTTGCCCCCTCTTTGGGGAGTGTCATTCCCTTGCTTACTTGACTAGTCTATCCGTCATTACTGATAGATTCTCTCCCTAGGAAGCCTTCTGGCTCCCTTCCTATGTGCTCAACATAACATCCCCAGGAGGCAGCCCTGAACCTGTACCGCAGGTGCCTGGTTACTGACCTGCCTCCCTCACCACACTAGAGGCTTTTTGAGAGAAGGAAATGCATTTCGTTCATTGTCGATGCGACAATTATAACTAGTATGCACATTATAACTAATCATTGAATCATCCTAAATTTTGTGAACTATGGTATTTAAGTATATATAACTCTCTCTCTCATACGTCCATATATATATATCTGTCCATGGTCTTTTCTTCTTAACTCTGTAAAAACAGAGAATATGTTTATAAGAATTAGGCTTTGGTAAACCAATTCTGCTTCCAACTCCTTTTCTATATTTCTGTGGGCCTGTGCTCATTCTGCCTTGTTATTTCATCTTTCAGCATAATATGCTGAATGCCTTTTAACAGCCTGCACAATCACCCTTTTCTGTAAGTAAATCACATGAGTTACTGTGTGTGTATCACCCAAAAAACTCGAGTACAAACCTCTGTTCTTTAATGGTTTCATGCTCTTATTTTCTATTTTTGATATTTAAAAGACTATATGTGGATGGATATTTCCAAGAAAAGTTTACTGCCAATACTGAGGTTAAAGGATAGCAGAGCCATGTCCTTACCCAAGGTTGTCCCTACGGGGGTCACCTAAGTTTTATAGGCCCCTGGAGATGTCAGTAATGACTGGAATTTCAATAATAAATTTTAATGAAGTTCAGAAAAACTGAATAAGGTGGAGTGCCCCAAAGAACTCTCTAAAATGTGGGAGTCCAGAGTGGCCATCTCAGTTGCCCTACCCAGAGGTCAGGCCAGCTCCCCTTAGACTGAGAAAGCTAGTCCTCATGAGAACAAAGGGAGCCAGTGAATGAATGAATGAATGAATGAATGTAGGTGACTGGGTAAAATCGAAATAAAAGACTCTGCAGACTTTGTGTAATATATGGTGTATATATATGGGATAACACAACAGAATATTCTAGAATGGGCAAAATTAAAACTTTGGCTCAATTGTGCCAAAAATTGTAGAGTTCACATACATTTTATTTATGTATTCTTCATCAATCCTTTTATCCTATTTCATCTACAGAACAGCTCGAATTGGAGGCTGCCTGCTTGTTTCCACTCAAGTGCAGTTAATATCACCTTACTATATTCTATAAAGGTATTGCCAAGGTCAGTTAGCTCAATGTTGTATTTCTTTCTTGAGAAAAATACATTAAAAAAAATCTTTGGAATAGGAGAGAGTGGGGAAGAGAATTGAAACTGAAATATTACAATGGTACATTTCCTGTAGACTTCACAGGTTATTTTTCAATTTGAAGAGCGAGTCTTGCCAGATGTCGTTAATGAAAATACCGCCATTTAAAGGCACAGTTTAAAAACATAACTAACGAGGGTTTGCCGCTCTTTTTCTATGGCATCTCAGCAGATGATACCCTCTTGTTGCACTCAGCAGCTGGTTGAGCCTCATGAAATCATGCCAACTTGTATTACATTATGACGTCTCAGAGAAGCACACAACCTGAATTTGCTAGGTTAGAGACAAGAATATTGAAACTGAAACGCTTTTTGTAAAAGTTTAAAAAGCAAGAAAAAGAAAACATGGTAAAGTTCTTAACGTAGCTTTGAAAAAGATATCAATCTAAAAAGTCTATAAAATGATAAAAACGAAAGGTCTAGGAAGGGAGGGAGGGAAGGAGGGAGGGGGGGGGGGGAAGGGAGGGAGTCATTTGAATTACTAGCGAACTAATTCCAGCTCTGCAACATAAGCTTTCAAAAGAGTCCTGGTTGTTTCCTGTGTACTTGGAAACTCTTCAGGTGTCTTAGGTAGGGGAATAAGGAGAAAAAGTGTCGAACCTTTGCAAAGAAGTTCACTTTGTTTATGCATTACAGCAATAAAGACTATTATAATAGCAATGTGGGATTTCCTGGTCAACCGCGACATTGCCAAGAGGGGGAATTTGGTTCTTCTGGGACGACTGTCTGGCTAGAAGGCCTTCGATTAAAATTGTATTTAATCATATATAATGTACGATATGGTTTTTTTTTACATTAGTAGAAAATTGCTTTCGCCTGTAATTCCAGCGCTGCATGTGAGATGGGATTCCACGCAGAGATTTAGATATCCAGTGCGGGCACCCCGAGGACTGGGAAAGGTGTCTGTGCCCTGGCTGTAATTGAAAACCAATGGCTTATCACCCCATGGCGCAGTGTTCACTCCCACCAGCCTCTGTGGGCCGGCCGCGACTCTCCGAATGCTCGACATCGGAAAGTGTCAGTTCATGTGTGCGCTTTTCTCCACTAGATGTCACTGTAAATCAATCGCTCGTGGAGGGGGCTCAAGTGTCCAACAAACGTTCAGACAGCACTAGGGTTCTTATCCTGGTTAGTCCCTACACTTGCGTTCTCTCGAACCGTAGCGTCGAGAGCCCGGCGGGGGCGACAGAGTCTCGCTGAGCAAGAGCAGCGTCGGTCCGAAGGGGCAATGTCAGGTGGAGGCGAGGAGGTCAAGGGTGCTGGGCGGGCTGTGCGATGCGGAAGGCCGCCAGTGCCACGCTAACCCCGCGCCAGCCAGTGGGACGGTCACGTGCAGCGGCGGCTCGCTCCCGGCAGCTCTTGGCTGGAAGGGGGGCGGGGCCGGGGAGAGTCGACGCAGCCCTAGCTGAGCTCCGAGGCCCCGTTCCAGGCGTTTGGGGTCGCCCCAGGCTGGGCGCGTGCGCAGCGCCTGGGTGAGAGCGGTTGGGGCGGGGCCAGCCGCCCGCCATCCCCGCGCGCTGAGCGGGCCAGTGCCTGCCGCGGGTGGTGCGGGGGCGGAGCCAGAGAACCGGCCGAGGGGGCGGCGGGGCGGGGTTGTGGCGCGCGCGTCCGCAGAGGGAGTGGGGCGGGGGCCTTCGCGGAGCGCGCAGGGCAGCCTCCGAGAGCGTGGGGCGAGCGTGGACTGTCGCGCGGAGAGGCGCGCCGGTGTGACTCCTTTCAGGCCGTCCTCCCGGCCCCGGCGTGGGTACTGTGCCGCAGTGGGGGCGCCGGGGCCCGCGAGGCCGGACGACGCGGCCGTGCCGGGAATGGTGGTCTGGGGCAACGCGGAAGGTGAGCGACCCCCGGCCGGCGGCGGGGTGGGGGAAGGGCGGGACGGGACTACCGCAGCCCGGAGGCGCCGCAACCGCGTCCGGTGGCGGCTGTGCACGGACGTCTGAGGAGGCGGAGGGGGTGGTATGGTACGCCGGCTGAGCATCGTGGCCGTTCTCTCCCGGCCTGGCGGCCCGGGCTCCTCTAGAGCGGCGGCCGCCGGGTTATGTAACGGTGACCTCCCTTCCCCCTCCGCCATGGCGCGGCCAGCCCGACCGCAGACACGGCGGCCCGCGGAGGCACCGCGCGACCACTGGCGCTCGCGGCCCTGCCTTCCGCGCCCTGGTTCCCCCCCACCCCCACCCCCGTCCGTCGCTTCTCGCCGTGGACGCCTCTCGGCCCCGCTCTGGCCGCGCCGCAAACTCCCTCTCCTGCGCCGGCGCCTCGCCGGCCTTTCAGCGCCGCGCCATTCATTCGTGCGCGCGTTTGGTCGCTTGCTCGTGGAGCCGCGCAGGGTGTCTGCGGGGGCCGAGCGCGGTGTTCTCCGCAGTACTTCGCCCGCCGCCGTGTGTCCCCCGCCCCCGTTATCCCTTCATCAGACATCTCCCCCAGTGGGTCCCAGAATCGGGGTCAGAATATCTTAAGACAGCTTTTTTTTATGCACTTGTGTTTCCTTTGCCTCTTTTCCTTTAATATGCAGAGCACCTTTTCCCACCTTCCCACGCAAGTGTCCGTTTCACACTTCCAGTCACTGTTAAGTCAGCCCTGTGTACACGGGAAAAGGCATTCCCTTATGCAGTAAACTGCTCTTACTACCTAAACCGAGTTTGTAAATAAATACTTTAATACATCACTCCTTAATTGATTACCTCTTATTTAAAAAAAGAATTGCAAATGGTGTAAGTTTACTCTTTCTGTCTTCCAGGTTTTTTCAGGTCACGTATGCAATAGTAATGGCTGTCATTTAGGTAAAAATAATGTGGACCAGCACATACTGTAAAAAGGGCTTGTAACTAACTCTTAAGGGCTTCGTGTAGCAGTTCTCAATTCTGGTGTCTGGCCTCTCTGGTCTCTCCAATTAGTCTTGGAGGAATAGTCATTTCCTCTTTAGGTAGGGTAGGACATACGATCATAATCTTGATTTTCTTCCTGTGGCGTTCACAGTAACCTGTCCTGTGGCTGTACCGTCTACCTGTTTTCCGAACTTGCTGTCTCTGCCTTCCCACATAGCCTTGTCTTAACTGGTGCAAATACTGCTAGCATGTCCTTCCCTCCCTCTGCTTCCTACGTTGGACTCTTCATGCTTACTCAAAGTTCTTTTCAGTAATCTTCTATCTATGAAGGTCTCCTCCTTTCAATTCGTAGGCTCTTTACTTGCCACTTTTGATTATCTTTCCATCCACATCCTGTTTTTCTCCTGCAGTCTTGTAGAGGCCCTTTTTTTTTTTTTTTTTTTTTTTTTTTTTTGGTCATAGAACGTTTCACCTATTTTGTGATTAACAGTCTATATCTACGGTATTTTCCCCTCAAAAAGGTGGGAGTCATTCTTTTGGAGTTAATTTCTATTAAGTCTCAAGAAGAAAAGTTTTCAGAATACTGTGTTTGACTATGTAAGACCCCTGCATTTTCCCACCTCCAGCTTCAAACCTCAGATTCTACCTAACAGAAAGAAACGTTGTCCTCACTTGGAACAGCATAGTCATTAATAGTAAGTTAGGAAGGCTACATATAGTATATATCTAATAGTTCTTTCTTTGATAGCTGCTCTAGTAGAAAGATAAGGACTTTGGAGTTACAAATAGATTTAAATTGTGATTCTGCTCATTAGCTGTGTGGCATTAGACAATTTAAGTTACTAATATCTCTGCTTTTTTTCTCATTTGTAGAATGAATCAAAAGTCCTTACTACAGCCGATCAGGGCATTACATGGTTTGGCAGTTGGTAATTCTGACCTTACCTCTTAGCAACAGTGATTCTTCACTTGCCTCAGTCCGAAGGTCCTTTTGCTGTTTTCTTGAACAAACCAATCTGTTCCTACCTTGGGGTGTTAACAACTTGCTGTTCTTTTAGGTGGGCCACCCCTTTTCCTGCTGGTTACCTTGCCTTTACATCTGTTTGCTGCTCCGATGTCATCACCTCAGATAGTCCTCTCCTGATCTCTAAAATAAAAGATGCCAGTTCTCCTTTCACTTCTGACTTCTTCATTTTGCTTTACTTTTCTCCACAGCATTTATTAGTAGACAAAGATACACTATCTGCTTATTTATCCATTTCCCCCGCTAGACTTCTTTGCTCCATGACCTCCCCAACTGGAGCGTATAGGCAGTTATAAAGAAACAGAGGAATGATATTACTTGGCCAGGTCACACAGAAAGAAGCCACAATTTCAGTCTGCTTCCATATGATACCATTAACCCAAGGTTATAACCAGTTTGCTATAAGGCACATAAAAATATGCTTTCTGTTAGGAAACTTCCTAGTCTGTTTTATCACATCATCTGTGCTGCAACTTTTAACTAGTGGCAGCTTCATCACTGTTTGTGGCTAAGGTGTTTTTTTTAAACTACTACTACACTTAGGTGCCTATATATTTTATAAGTGTGAAACATTTTAATAGGCTGATATGCAAAATCTTTTTTTTCTAATTATAAAAGTCATTAAAAATAAAGCATTATGTATCATGGTACGTCAGCTTTGTAAATACATAGTTTGAAAAAGTTTTGTATATAATGTAATGCACTAGATTTAAAAAACATGAATGTGTTTAAATTTGCTTAAGGCTTAAATAAATTTCAAGTAGCAAGTAAATATTTAATAAAAATTAAGTTCCTTCTGATGTAGAGCAAATGTCATCTCTGTTTTTAGTACGTAAGGAGGGAAACATGGTAGAACATTTTTGTACTATGGTAAGCTTTAATGATTTTTGTCATCTATTTGCAAGACTTAAAATTTGAAGGATATCTAAATTATGAGTTGTGGACTTATTAACACTCAAGTGGAATCAGAATGCTGGTGCTAGATTGAACCTTACAGATTCTGTAGACCATGCCCTTATAGTTTCCTGGAGGAAAATGAGACCCAGAAAGTCATTTGATTTATAAGAAGGAGAACTATGACTAAAACCTAAGGTTTTTTAAAATGGTTTTTTTTTCCTCTAAGACTGTTTTTTTCCTGCTCCAATAATTAACTGCCCCTCTGCCATGCAGGGGAAGACCAGTGTGTATGTTTAGTATCTTCTTTTCAAGAGAATAGAGAATGAGCAATGTGTTCTTTAAATTTGTGGTTTAAAATTTTGAGGGTTTTTTTTTAATCATTGACTTTAAAGTAATAGGAAAGTTTATTTGAATCCAGTATCTGAGCAACCAAAATGTTGCTTATTGGTGTCAACCATTCCTGATCATAACCTAAAAAAAGATAAAATGAGCTTTTTTGGAGGTTTAGTTAGAAGATAGTTGAATCTTACAAATTTTCTAGTTTCTCATCATTTCTACACTTGAGATTAGTAAGAATAGACTTTATATTTTTACATTTAGGCATTAGTCTGAATTATGTAATTGAAATTATGATTTGGATTCCTTGTTCTTTTGTTTTTATTTTCTTTTTTGATTTCACTGATACTTTTTTCCCCTTTTTGTTGAATTTATCGGGGTGATACTTATTAACAAAATTATATATGTTTCAGGTGCACAATTCTACAACCCATCATCTGTATACTGTAATTTGTGTTCATAACCCCAAGTCTCTGTTCATCGCTATTTATCCCCCCTATAACTTCTATCTGCTTTACCCCTGCACCACCGCACTGTTGTCCCTGTCCATGAGTTTATCTTTTTTGCTCAATGCCTCCACCACCCCCAGTAGCTATCAGCCTGCTCTCTATCTATGAGTGTTAACTATTTTGCTTGTTAGTTCATTTTTAAAAAAGAGTTTATTTATTTGGGGAGAGAGGGAGAGAGAGGGAAGGACAAAGGGAGAGAAACATTGATGTGCGAGAGAAACATGGATTATTGTCTCTTGCAAGCCCTTGTCAGGGGACCTGGCCCATGACATGTGCCCTGACCTGGAAGCGAACCAGCCACCTTTTGGTTTGCGGGATCATACCCAACACACTGAGCCACACCAGTCGGGGCACTTGTTAGTTCATTTTTTTTTCATTAGATTTTACATGAGTGAGATCATATGGTACTTCTCTGGCTTACTTCACTTAGCATAATGCTCTCCAGGTCCATTCATGCTGTTGCAAAGGGTAAGATTTTCTTTTTTAAGGTGAAGTAGTAATTCCATTGTGTAAATTACCACAGCTTTTTTACCACTCATTTACTGATGGACACTTGGGCTGTTTCCAAGTCTTGGCTATTGTAAATAACACTGCAGTGAACATAGTGATGCATATATTCCTTCAAATTAGTGTTTTGGGTTTCTTTGGATAAGTTCCCAGAAGTAGAATTGCTGGATAATGAGGCAGTTCCATTTTTTTAAATCCTTACCCGAGGATGTGTTTATTGATTTAATTTTAATTAATTAATTAATGTTTAATCTTTGCCTGATGATACATGTATTAACTTTAGAGAGAGAGAGAGAGAGGGAGGAGAGAGATGGACCAATGTGAGGCAGAAACATCAATCTGTTGCCTCTGGTACACGCCATGACCAGGTATCACACCTGCAACGTAGGTATATGCCGTAACGGGGAATCTAACCTTCAACCTTTTGGTGCATCGACAACTCTCCAACTGAGACACCCAGCAGGCTAGGCAGTTCTATTTTTAATTTTTTGATGTTAAATCCACACTGCTTTCCACAGTGGCTGCACCAATCTGCATTCCCCCAACAGTGCATGAGGTTTCCCTTTTGTCCACATCCTTGCCAGCATTTGTTGTTTTATTGATGATAGCCATTCTGACAGATGTGAGGTGATATCTCATTGTGGGTTTTTTAAACAGTTGTATTTTATTGCTTATCCATGTGGTTTTAATTTTCATTTCGCTGATGATTACTGACATTGGGCATCTATTCATATG